TCTCTCTCTCTCTCTCAGATAAATAAATAAATAAATAAAATCTTAAAAAAAAAAAAAAAAGAAGTTCCAGGATGAGCAGTTGAGGTTTTGCACAAAATGAAGGTGCCAATGAGACTCTGGCTCACCATTTTGTGTTTGTGATCTGAAGGGGCACCTTCTCCACAATAGCCAAACTGTGGAAAGAGCCCAGATGTCCATCAACAGACGAATAGATAAAGAAGATGTGGTATATATATATATACAATGGAATATTATGCAGCCATCAGAAAGGATGAATACCTACCTTTATATCAACGTGGATGGAACTAGAGGGTATTATGCTAAGTGAAATGTCAATCAGAGAAAGACAAGCATCATATGATCTCACTGATATGTGGAATTTAAGAAACAAGGCAGAGGATCATAGGGGAAGAGAGGGAAAAATAAGAGAAACCAGAGAGGGAGACAAACCATAAGAGACTCTCAATCATAGGAAACAAAGTGAGGGTCGCTGGAGAGGAGGGCGTGGGGGCGATGGGGTAACTGGGTGATGGACATTAAGGAGGGCATGTGATGTAATGAGCACTGAGTGTTATATAAGACTGATGAATCACTGAATTCTACCTCTGAAACGAGTAATACACTATATGTTAATTAATCGAATTTAAGTAAAATAAAATAAATAAAATTTTAAAAAACTGATGACACATGCATGCAGGAAGTGAAACAGAACGCTGCCTGATGGGGAACTGATCTAGATGGTGGAGGAAGGCCGTCGGAGATGGCGGTAGAAGCGACTGACAAGAAGGGGGCAGCCGTGCAAGGAGCTGGGACAGAGCGAGATGAGCAGGGCCTTCCTGTGTCTGACTGCGCTGGGACGACAGCAGACTGTTTGGAGCCGGGGCAAGGGACCTCTCCGGCTGCACGATGCACAGAATGGCCTCTGAGTGGGGCTCGTCCGTCCTGGGCACGGGGGAGAAGAGATCCGCGGCCCGAAACCACACGCTTTCTTCCACAGCACCATCTAGAAGAGCAGGTGCTGAGACCACACCCAGAGCCCAGGCCCGCCCGAGTCCTGTCCAATAGGTGAGGTCCACCCCCCCACCCCCCCGCCCCAGAGGAGACCGAAGCGAGAGAAGACGGCCCTGCGTGGGGGGTGGGGGTGGAGACCGAGGTGTACGAACGAGGGCGTGTAGGTCTAATTCCCCACCCTCGACACCGTCACACTTTAAACCCAGCACTTTCGCTTCAAATTCCTGCCCCACCCCGCGAGAGGGGCGGAGGCCGGCCAGGTTCTAGGGTTCAGGACCCCGAAACCCACCCTCTTACCCCGCCGAGGCGGCCGGCCCGCGCCCACTCCGGGACCTCCCGACCACCCTTCCGGGCAGGAGCAGGTAGGTGGCTGGCGCAGAGACCCTTTCCCGCCCCTCCCGGACCCCGCGCAGCCTGGGGAGCCGGGACTAGGGGGGGCGGCTGGGGTGCCCCGGAGCCCCAGGAGACCTCCCCAGCGAGGGCGAGGGGATCCGAGTGCCCCACATCCAGCCGCCAGGACGGAGACAGCTGCACGCAGCTGGGCCCGGGCCCCCACGCTCTTGGAACCTCGCTTTTCCCTTCTGTGGAATGGGGACAATTACGCCGCCCTGTTTAGGGTATTTTAGGTAAAGCTCCTCACTCATCGCAGACGCTTCGAAAAGGGTAGTTAATTTTTGTAAATAACCCCCTTGAAGTACGTGCTTGCTAAAGGCCTTCCGGGTTCAGGAAGCAAAATTAGGCCAGGTTGGGGGCAGGGAGTCCTATTTAATGCTGAGCATCCGGCGAGCCCCAATCCGCCGCAGAGCCGCCCTCCGACACGGATCCAGCGCAGGGGGAGGGCCGGGGGTCCTGGCCTCCGAGCCCCGCGAAGAGCCCCAGCTAGGCCTCGGACTGCGCTCCCCTCCACCTCCCCGGGAGCGCGCCCTGCCAGCCCCACCCCGGCTGCGGCTCCCGCGCACCCTGGCTCCGCCCGGTCTGAGGTCCCTGCGCTCGGGCCCCTGCCGCCTCGCCCCCTGCAGAGGCCCACGGATTTGCCCAGTGATCGGTGACGTCGGGGAGGCTCGCGCTCCCATTGGGAGGCGGCGATTGGCAGGGGCCAATCTGGGCGCTGATCCGGGGAGAAATCTCGGAGCCGCGCTCGGCGGAGCGGGGAGGCCGCGGGGCGGGGACGCGACCCGGAACCGGCCG